GGTCAAGTATTTCCGCACCAGGCAATGACACGCAGATAATCCATTGACTTAGCTCCATTGTTCGTGTGATATATAACGACATCAAACACATACACATACAACAGATATATCCGTACGAGAGCTTGAGTGTATCCACACCAGCCAGCAACGCGCAGGCCGTCTACTTGGCCAACTTCATACCGTTGCACTTAATCATCAACCTACAGCTACTGATACTAACACACATACAAAAACACATCCAACCTTGCACATATCCCCAGCCCACTCAGACCACTCACACAACTCCACTCACCCGAGCTTGAGTGTATCCGCACCAGCCAGCAGTGCACAGGCCGTCCACTTGGCCAACTTCATACTGTTGTTCTTCAACTCCATAGCCAGAACGGCACCCTTCTGCGAGTCCAGTTTCTGGCGCCAGTCCAAGGGGTTTTGATCATATTCGTTGAGTGCTTTAATCATCAAGTATGATTCCTCACCCTTGGGCGACCGTTGGAAGGCATCGACCTCACATCGGGCCACAAGCTCGATATCTAATAGTGTAGGGAGAGTTTATATGCAAGATTTAGAGAGTATGAACATGCACAGTATGTGGTAGACTTGAGGATATATATATATACATAAATAAATATGTGAGATTTAAAAATGAAGCACAAGTTCAATATCTGATAAAGTAGATAATATGCAGCGCCAATACGCTAGGTCTCAGACCGCTACACAGGTTAATATTCAAACAGAAGTAGAAAAATCTATGCGACGCTTCAAATCTCCTAAAAGGGATAAACCAAAGAATATTAAACATGTTAGTCTATTCGGGTGGGGTAGGTGTGGGTGGGAGTGTTGGGTTTGCATCCGCCACTCCAACGCAGACTCGTCCCGCAACTTTGTGAACTAAAGGGTCTCAGCCCCTGCCAATTAGAACACGCTATACACACAGCTTGGCTCAATAACCAATTAGCGTAGTACACGAGCATCCATCAATCCCTTGAACGCAGGTCTCCACAACCTGCAACTTGAAGAATACGCCGAAGCCATGCACGCTAACGCTAAGGCTAAGGCGTTCGCAACACCACACCCCACCAACACACACACCCACCGTTTCCAAGATCCCACTTTCTGTAGCGGTATCCGACCGAGCACACATCCTCGTCATCCTCCGCAAACGGATTGCCCTCCTCCAGCTCAATGGAGTCGCCACTCTTAAGTACCTGCTGCGAGAAGTTCTGGTTGATATACGTCGCCTCTATAGCCAGCTGGCTGGGTGTGTTCATGCGGTTGTCCGCCTCGTCTGTGGGGGGGTCTTGGGCCGTCTCGTTGACCGTCAGGAAGTCAAACTGTGAGTTGTCGCGCTTGTCCAGGAACAGTTTATCCCCCACGCGTTGTACTACGATATCCCACGAGTGCACAGACCGCGGTGTGGCCATAATAGTCGCAATGATAGCGTCGGTGGCAAACACCTTCGCGTTGGTGCTCTGGGCCAGATCCCGGAACACCGGATCGTCCGTGGTGGTGACGTTGTGGAAGACCTTCTGGAACTGGTGCAGCGGCTTGGAGTTCTTCGTAGTCACACGGTCGTAGCTCTTATCGTACCGGTCCATAGTACCACAGGTCAGCAGGTCAACCGGCGCGTCTACGCTGAAGGCTAGCTTGGTGAGACGCGTGAACTCGATCTCGTCCTGCACTTCCCACGTGGACTGTACCTCTACAGACGCCTCGCGCTCACGCGTCTCTCTTCGATTGCCCCAGCGCGCGAAGCCACCGCGACCCCCACGACCACCACGCTGGTTAGCACCACCACGCATGTTACGGTTGTTGCCTGGGGGGGGATGGATGGATGGATGGATGGTGAGTGTTGTGTTTTAGTTAAAGATGCATGCGTGTGTGCGCTATGTTAGCTTCAGATGCCGAAGTGCGAAGTAAGTGCGTGCGTGATTGTACCACTGGCGAGTAGCGCACGTATCTGGTTGGTAGCTCAGATGTGTTGAGTAAGATAAATTCCCAAGTTTCCAGGTCTATTTATAGTAGTGTAATGTTCCTGTAACAAAGATTTAAAACAGATATAAAGACAAAAACTGTCGCAATACAACAACAACACAAACCAGCAAGTCCTTTACAAGGCTCACACATGCTACTTTTACCTCGATTGTCTGTAAGCATTGGCCACGGTATATGACTATGTATATATATATATATGGGTACACGAAGCGCATATTTGAGCTATGTTTATATATATATATACACATGTGTGTGTGTGTAAGCTCACGGTATATGTGCATGTTTGAGCGATGTTTATACATATAAATATGTATTCATAATCTGTATAGCGATGTATGCACTTCAGGTGCACAATAAACTAGTCAATATAAGCTCTCCTGATTGTCTAGCTCGTGGAGATTTTTTATTAGAAAATATGCACACACAATTAAATACATACGCATACGTACAGCAAGGGTCACGTAGAAGCATGGCGAGGAAAAAGTCACTTCCAAGTGCGTAGTAAGGCACACTCTAATGCAGACTATGTTTTGACTAGAGTGTGAGGGTTAGATAGTCTTTATCTTTACTGCAATTCCGGCGGCTGTGGTACTATTTATACCCACGCTATACAGATCTCCATGCGTGCGTGCATACACTCGCTCCGCAAACAGTCTCCCCCCTCACACAGATGGGCCGCATTTCCCCGTGCATATCCTCGGGATACACATAAATATGACTACACACTTCCACACACACGTATATATATATGAATATGAATACATACCTCCCAGACGCTGTAGACCACCCGCACCCGAGCGGTGCAGAGACTCTCTGCGGCGAGGTCTGAACCTGCGACCAGTGAAGCGCTTCTGCTGTGTGGGGTTGCGGTCAACCAGTCTGAATGAGCTCTCATCCACCTCGTGTTGGTAACTGAAGGCTGTCCCACCCGCCCCATAGCGTTGCTGGTACTTCTCTTTGTATCGGCGGTCGTGGAAGTTGGCGTTGCCGGTCCAGTCGGCTACCTTGCCTGTATTAGGGAGTGGTGGGTATTGGAGGGGTAGGCTTAGTGTCCAAGGATGTGGTATTTCAATCGGAATGGCATATATACATATACATACATGGGTATACGCAGGATTGTTATGAATCTTCACATACGAAGTGATAAACAAATTGGATGTTGAAATCAAAGCCAAAATCAGATCAATCAATTCGCATTGCACAACACTCGCCTCACAGAATCCAACGGGAGTATAGTTATCAATACAAAACGTAAGTATAGTTAAGAATATTGAACGATTGCGATTATACACATCGACATAAAACACACTCACTCAATACAAGCTTGAGTTTCTGTACCCTTGACATATCTTCCGCTCAACGTATGTATATGTATATGTATAAGTATATATGTACATGTATCATCCCTGGTGAGTGCAAGTACCCAAGCAGGTGTACGCCTCTACACAAACGAACGTTTACGCATAGGATAACAGCCGAATAGCTAGCGCCTGAAATCACGAGTGAACCCGCAGATGTTGCTACCAACAAACTACCCCCGCCCTCTCTTAGTATTCAGGAGGTACGAAGCATATAAAAGTATGAAACAGATAGGCACACATACACATATGCACACATACAGATAGGCACACATACACATATGCACACATACACATATGCACACATACAGATAGGCACACACATACAGATAGGCACACACATACAGATAGGCACACATACTTACATACACAATTGCCGATAGTATAGTGGTACATAGCGGTATGGTTGTATGCGTGCACAGACCCACACCATCAGCCACTCATTGATAGCGGATGAACACTGTACGCGTGTGTAGTCGGCCCAGTTAATCATAGATAGACTCAGTTGATCACAGATAAACTTGTATGCATGTGCAGTACCACTGGAACAATAGACCCAAAGGCAGCAGTGACTACCCCAGGGAGTGCGGGGATAAGTATTTAGATAGACCCCTACACCCAGACAGCACTTGCCATACGCAGTACTAATACCAAGCCAGCTATAGGAAGACATACCAAGGAATGAACACAACACACACCACACCACACACAAGCATTACACTACAGATGTTCGGTACATGTGCTGGTACAGAAAATGATGGGTATAGAGAACACCACCACATACACTACCATTACCAAGCCATCTACAAGAAGGCCCCTACCAACGAATGCATACAACACACAAGCACTACACCTACAGATGATCTGTGCATGTGCTGGTACAAAACACGATGGGTATACAGGACACCACCAACAGTACAGGATCATATCAACAATAAACGAAAGCTAAATGCTACCAACAATAACAATCAATTCAGCAAGATTTTATGCAGTGGTTGGTGACTCACTAGTATTGAGTATAGGCCGACTTGTACTACTTACGTTCAATAAAACTTTCCGAGTGTTCCCGAGTGTATATTCGGAAATGTGTTTGGTCAAATGAGAGATACTGAACCGTATGTGAATCATATATATATATATAAATATATATATATACAAATATACTTAAGTTCGTACAAAAATTCATTGATCTGGAGATATTCATGTGTATATATTTCGAGAAATAAAAACAAAAGTCGAGTATAAACATGAAATATATACAAATATGTATCCGCGTGAGTATATACAGGGACATGCATACGCCGAGTTTATATCGGAAATATGTTTGGTCAAATGTATATTGATACCGTATGTGAATCCTATATATATATATATATATATATATATATATATATATATATACATACATATACATATAAAAATATACTTAAATTCGTACACTTGTACATTGATCTGGAGATATTCGTGTATATATTTCGAGACATGAAAACAAGTCGAGTAAAAACATAACATATACATATATATATAAATATGTATCCGCGTGAGTATATACAGGAACATGTATACGTAAAAAAGCATATAAATCTAAACAAATATGAATTCAAGCATATATATATATATATATATATTATGCAGATTGACTGTACCTGCATGAAGCATCGCACCATACAGTACACGCAGAGTACACATAAGAGTGGGGTCAATTAATTTCTCAGTCCAGATACACTACACAAGACATAACCATATGCGAACAAGTACCATTTAACTATTACACATAACGGTACAAACACATTTCCAGATGAACGACGTGTAACGACTTCAATATAAATATGTATCTATATGTGTAAGCATGACTATGAATGATAAAAGTGCAAACTCATGTCGACAACATAGTATCCTCAAGGAGTATAGCGTACCAATCATATATAATTATGTACGTACTCTATAGTGACATTCATTGGCACACGCGAATCTCGCACTCAACATGAATATTCCGCTTTATGCATACGTGATGTCAGGTTACAAAATCAAAGCAAGATACAAATATAAATATATATTTCAAAATGCACACACACACACACGTATATATATAAATATATATCAACATACAAAAATGATTATGAGATTGACGAATGAATATGCATAGATCGAGATAATAATAAAAATATGTTTATAATGTATTTACTATTTTACAAAACCTCAAAGGCATATCAACTTTTGAATAGAAACGCATCTATAAATAAGAATATATACATATATATGTACAATATATATGCATAAATATATATATATATAAATATAATATATACATATATGTATATATGATGATATTAATATAAGAATACGTATGTACGTATGTATGTATGTATAAACACTTATAGATATAAATATATCAATATATATATATAAATATATACGTATATTTAGATATTCATATATGTATATATATATATATATATACGCGTGTGTGTGTGTGTGTGTTTATGTGTGTGTGTGTGTTTTTATGTGTGTGTGTACACGCATATATATATATATATATATATATATGCATATATATATATATATTTCTAGGCGTAAAGAAGTACATGATTCGTAAAGCTTACCTAGTGTATCTCCCTTGCTGTATGGCTGGAATGGAATGCCATCCATATCAGGAAGTTCAGCAGGGCCCCATGATTCAGCATTGTCTTGAATCTTAGGTGCTCTGAACTTAAATGTACTCTCCTCTACATTAACATTCGAGATCTGGTCAGTGACCTCGTTAACCTCTGCCTGTGTGTCTGTGCTCACCGGCATATTTATCTATAGATCTCAGGATACGATGTAGCTATGGTAGACTACACTTAAAACTATCTATAGGTAACTATGTATATATGTGTATATATACTTACTGTATGCTAGCTAGCTTATAGATATACAGGTCTAAATATATATCTCGCATACAATCCTGCTGTGCCGTCTCTATTCAGTTTTTTTTTAACCCTACTACATATTACTCCCCCGTGTGTACCCGAACTCCCATCACTCAAATAAATACACACGCGACCTCTTGGCTCTCGTAATACATTTTTTCAATTCTATTTTTAGAATTTGGTCTACTCCAGCCCTTACCCAGTAACCCAGTCCTATAATTCGGACCACTCCGATCACTGACGGCCCTCTTTATGTTCCCAGGTGCGAATTGGCATTTGGCACGTGCACTTTAAATTCCAAAACATACCGAACTTTCGCTCATATTTTTGAAATAGCTGATCATAATTAGATAAGAAATCTATTCTTCTGCTCGTATAAATATAGAAAATAGAAATACTGAACTGTGCCTATCAAACTGTGATGTTTATTTACACTTTGCAGAGTTACATAGATGTTTTGTATACACCTATCTATCATCATGTAGAGGTACTTGCTTGGTACTCTTATTTTCTAAACGCTTTAATACATTCTAAAAATATAAAGCAACCGAAGTGACTATGGGCTTACTTTGTCAACATATGAATGGCCAGGTATATGCTTGAGCTCTCGCAAGTGTGACGTTGAGTTGTACTTTCGAGAGAGTTTTAGTGGCGCTGGTGCTGCCCCTCAGGAGCGACATATACAAAACCAGGCCGTGAGTAAGATCAGTCTTGTCTTATATATCACCACACGTACTTCTTTCAATGGTTTAACTTCCGATAGTTAGAGATTATGTAACAGTAGCCATTCGACATACATTGTCAAATGAGGAGCATATAATTGTCGTATGAGGAACGCATATCTGGATACCCATCCAGATTGAAATGAATACGATAACAAACTGAACTATTGCTATCAATTAGTTTTTCTTTAGGGTTGTCAGGCTACGAATGTAACAGATGCGAATCTGGCTATCGTTCTAAAATTAACCTTCTTCAATTGACATTCTCAACTAATCTTATTTGGATAACTATGTACATTAAATTCATTCTCGATGAGATTTGAATATCATAATATATATATTTATATATATATATATATATATATACTACTATTACATATATATATAT